TGGGGGGGGGGGGGCCCCCCCCGCTGCGGCCCCCACCAGGGGCACTGGCCACAGGGCGGTGGCTGAGCCCACCTGTGAGTGGCCGACGTGTGCTCAGTGCCTAGGCACCGTCGTGCAGCAGCCTTGCCGCCAGACGAGACCCACAGCTTGCAGCACGTGTGCACCTCACTGCAGGCAGCTCGGACCACCTGGAACGCTGCAGTCCACAGAAGCAAGAGGACCAGGCGTGGTCATGCTGGGCCCCCCACAACTGGGCCTGCTGCTGCCACCCAGGCCTCGTGCACGCTGGCTTCTGCCTGGAACACTTGCTGTGTCCACCAGGCAATGGTGTGACAGCCCCGGGCGGGTGACAGGAGGGAAGGCAGCGTTCCCCAGGGAGAGGTAGGGGTGTGAGTGGCATCGCAAGGCCAAGGCTGGACCTATAGACAGAAGCCCAGCTCCTGATGGTCCCCCACTCCCTTGCCGGGCACCCCCCCAGCAAGACACGCAGTGCCAGCTATGTCCTCTGCCCCTTCTCTGTCAGCAAGGCAGAGCCATCCCCACCACAGCTGCAGGGCCCCAGGCCTGGTCCTCCATGCGCTGGGCTTCTCCCACCACACTGTGCACCTGCGCCCCCGTGACTGTGCTGTGGGCTGGGGAGCCAGGCAAGGGATTTGGAGCCCAACCCTGAAGTAGCAGGCAGCCCAGCCCCTCTGGGGGGCTAAGCCAGGCATCTCAGTCGCTCTGGGGTGGCCAGGGCTGGGAACTATCAACACTCTCCTGACCACCCGATGTGGAAGCCAGGCCACTTCTCCACCCACTGAGGACTCCACCATCCAGGGCACTGGTTCAGAGGGAAGTAGCAGGAGTCCTCTGAGCGTCCGGTCTGGTCCAGTCCCATCCCACTCTGTGGTAGTGGCCCACCCCAGCCCATGCACTGTACCCCCAGCAGAGGACATCGTCGCTCGGTGTGCAGGTCTGGGAACTCCTGAGCACCTGCAGCGAGATGACCCTAGACATCCCCACACCACGGACAACCTCGAGGCTTTCCAGGATGTCCCTCCAGAGGCCGCGACCAGGGAGGTTGAGGGCTGTCCTGACGGCTGCTGTGGCACTGCCCACGGGCTGGCTGCCTGGGCTGGAGTGGGCGTCTGCCTGCGGTTTTTCTCTCTGGCTGGAGCCTGTTCCACACCTTGCACCCCCTCCACCCTGCCCACAGCAAAGGGAGTTTTTAACCAATCCATAAAGCCAGTTGTGCCAAGTTGTCTGGGATGGTGGAGAGGAGGCGCCAAGGAAGTGGCTGCCTGGAGACCACCTCCAGCCTTGCTCAGAACCCCAGTGGCACCCTGCACCCTAAGTCCCATCCACTCCTAGCTGTCCCGGAACTTCCCAATTGCCCATGTGCTTTCTGAGAAGCCAGGCTCCTTTCAGACACCTGGGGGCTGGTCCTGGACCCCAGCCCAGGAGGGCAGTGGGAGCTCCACTGCACCCACCAGGGCCCCGAGGGCACAGTCTGGCGTACCTGCCCCTTCCACCATCTCTTGGCCTAACCGGGCCCCTTTCCACACCCACAGGAAGGTGACACTGAGGCCCCTCAGGAGCCTGGGGAGCAGCTTCATGTCTAGGTCACTGCCCAGTGGGGACACTAGCCCTCAGTCTCCTAGAGGAACAGATGGACGAAGCCAATCAGATGGTTTTTATTTGTGCACGTCCTGGCCACCACTGGGCAGAGCAGGCCCACTGGGAGCAGCCTGCTGCAGAGATGGGGGGGTGGGCAGCGTCCTGAGGCCTGGCATCACCCAGGCACCCTCTGCTCCCAGGAGATTCGAGATGCTTGAGCACTTCCTCAGACCCATGTCCCGGGTACCCAGCCCACCCTTCCCACACCCCACTGACTGGCTGCAGCCCAGCCTGGCTGCGGTGGGCTCTGCTTCACAAACTGCCCCTCTCCCCACCCTCCCTACTGGGTAACACGAGGCGATGTTCCACGTGGGGTCTCCCCAGCGAGCCAGGTCAGCGCCAGGCCAAACTCACAGGGCCAGCCTGGGCCGAGCCGCCCCAGGAGCTCCAAAGGAACCCTACTCCCCACCAGGTGCCTCAGACCCCACCCCAAGGAGCAGGTAGGCGGCTAGGCCGCTGGGACAGGTTGCGGTCTCCGTGCCTGGGCTGGGGAGGCCCTGCTGGGTGGGCGGGGCCCCACAGAAGCTCTGATGCCCACATTTTTCCAGATAGGCGGAATTTTGTCTTGGAGAACACACAAAGCAAACCAGGAACCCAAAGGCAAAGCAACCCCCTTCCCAGACCAGGGGGCCAGGGGCCAGCAGGGAGCCACTCATTGGGCACTGGGGACCAGCTGTGGGAGACGGCAGGGCCAGCTGCACCTACGTGATGTCCCTCTGCCGCGGCGGCCGGTGGACGTTCCTCACCACGCACTTCACCATCCACTCGATGCCCTCGAGCACCCCTTTGCTGCAGAGACAGCTGTGTGAAGGGCTGCCCTGGCCCCGAGCTCCCCGCAGAGAAGGGCCCACTCACCCCGTGAGGGCAGAGCAGGCCTGGGTCAGGCAGTCTCTCCGGCCAATCTTGCAGGTGCAGTCGCTGAAGGCGGTCTTGATGTCAGGGATCGAGAGGCACGTCTGGGGGGGGTGAGGACGTAAGGAGCAGGGCTGGAACCCTGCCTACCACCTCTGCCGGTGGACATGGCCCTGCCCCTGCGCAGTGGCTTGCAGTGGCCTTGGCAGGACACAGGTCAGCCCTCAGGGCTGCAGTGGGCAGTGCTCCAGGAGGGCCCTGACCGCCCAACCAGCAACTTCACCTATCCCAAGAGGTGTCCCGAGTGGGAGGCAGGTGGGTAGCAGGGGGCAGTCCCAGCGACCCCACGGGGTGAGGCAGTAGGGCGTGTAGTGTCATGGTGACAGCTTGGCCCGCAGTGGTGCCCACCTTCTCTCCTCCCATGGGGATTGCAGGGGGCAGGCTTTCAGCGCGAGAACTGCCCACAGGCTGGCTGTGGAGCCATGGCAGGACCGCCTCAGAGACTGCCCTAGGTCCAGCAGGGCAAGGGTGGCCCAGACGCCAGCCCCGAGTGCCAGGGTGGTCACCTGACCTAGGTGCTGTCTGAGCCCAGAGCCTTCACCTGGGTCTCCCCAGCTGGCCCATGTCCTGAGATGGCATAGCCGCCTCCGGCCAGGGGCTGTGGGAGGCTGCGGGGAGGGGTGGGCCCGCTCACCTCCACGGGGCAGGGTGGGGCCGCTCACCTCCACGGGGCAGGGTGGGGCCCGCTCACCTCCATGTCCTGCTTGTTGGCCAGCACCAGGATGGGGACGCCGTCCAGAGCCTCGCTTGTGACCATCTTCTCTAGGGTTGGGAGGAGAGGGGGTAGCACACACCAGCACACACCTCTTGACCCTGGCCCTCCTCACTGTGCACCTGGGAGCTTGGTGACATGGCGGGGCTCCCTGGGCCGGCCCTCCCCAGCTCGGCCTTGCACAATGGCCACTCACCGAAGGCACGCTTGGACTCTGCCAGCCGCTCCTCATCGGTGGAGTCGATGACATAGATGACACCATGGCACTCCGCGTAGTACTAGAAGGGAGTGGGGGCTGGGCCCGGCGCTGGACACCACCCATACCACAGCCGCTGGGCAGCCCCACCAGGAGGTCCTGTGGGGTGCCTCCAGGGCAGTTCCCACAAGCCCCCCCTTTCCCCAGCCGCTCCCGAGAACATGCCTGGGACCCTTGTGCTGATGCTGGCCGGTGGGGTGAGACAGGGCCCAGCGCATGTGGAGGGACCACTGCTGTCAACGGCCCGCCTGCCGGGTGTGCCACGGAGGGATGAGGGCAGAGCTGCCCACCACCCAGGCAGAGCACAGCCAGTGTCTGAGTCCGGCCCCTGCAGGCCAGGCCTGGCCAGTCCTGGCTCACAGCAGTGGGGACGGGTGCCACATGGCCACAAAGGCATAGGAGGCGTGGACTCAGGTAGCATAGTGAGTGTTTTCATCCCAACCGAGCACACGCCGCACAGCCCCATCCACATGGTGTGCAGGTCCCCCACCTGCCCCCGGTCTGAGCACAAGAGTGCTGGGTCCGCGGTCAGTGTGTGGTACAGGAGGTGGAGGACAACTCTGCAAGAGGCACCTTCCCGCTGGCCCCAACCTGGGAATGGCTCTGGCAGCTCCAGAGGAGGCCACGCAGCAGGAGCTGGGTGTGTGAGGAGG